AGTCCATTGTATGCATAATTATTTCCAAAGTCGGACCGTGGACGCGGTACATTTCCAAACGTTTCGCCGGAATCGTCAGTGAGTTTCGCTATTCGTAGCAGCATATTACAACTCGTCAAATGGACAAATGAAGCCCATCCTTTGAACAAACGTGTGCTAAACAGAATCTGATCAGCATTCCCATCACAAGGGTAAAGGGGGTGATAACGACAGTGTGGAGTGCAAAGGGTTTTCCTGAATGCCGCTCGAAAGAGCACACAACACTACATTAGGAATAAGCACGGTAAAAACTGTGACAGAGAAGGCATGATAGAAGGATATAGGAAATGTGAATAGGTCAGGGCAGAAGGCGAGATATAATAACTGTTTAGCACACGTTTGGTCAAAGGATGGGCTTCACTTTTCCATATGACGAGTTGTAATATGGTGCTACGAATGGCGAGACTCACTGATGATGCCGGCGAAACGTTTGGGAATGTACCGCGTCCACAGTCCGACTTTGGAAATAATTATGCATACAATGGACTCAGGACAAGGTGCGTTCCTATAAGTCTTCTTACCAATATGACCAAGTTGCGAAAACAAGGTCAAACAACTTCTATACAACGGAAGGAGACTGCGACCACAAAAATAGACCACACCATCTTGGTCTCCATACTTTCGTTCTTTAGAGTGAGTTCACCTGGTCTCTGATACATAATACACTCAATTTGACAATGCGAAGAATCGTGATTCTGTTTCAATAACATCAAAGTCGAGTTTAGAAAGACTGAGAAACGATTGTGACTGTATTATAATTAGTATTAACTAAGACAAATGGATTTCGAGTCTCAGTTCACCTAATTATCAATGAGCAATACCTGTTTTTAAAGTGTAGTGAAAATCTGATGTCTCTTAACCATCTATCTAAACCCTAGCCAGAATATCCACTAAAGGGGGCAGGTGAATCAGCAACAGCATCGACAAGTAGTGCATTTGTGATCAATTAAATACGCCACAATACCCGGTAATTCTGCGGATCGACATATTATATTCATTACTCTAACTTATTTACAGTAGTTAAGTAATTAACCACTAGGACCAAAATGACAGGTTGAATATAAAAGGTATCTGAGGATAGAGATGGGTGAAACTAAGCTAGAAAGCATGATAGGTTATGAACCAATTTTTGAAGCTTGGCCTAATAGATTGGAATAAATGATAGATGCAGAACTGTTAAGTAGTGTTATAAATGTAAGGCGAAAGTACAGGAGACCAGTATTCATGGCTAAGCCAGCCATCCAATGGGCCTCATTAAGTGATAATGTGGGGATCCAAAGAATCAATAGCTGTCAGAAAAATAAGAAGTACATACTTTGTATATATATATATTCGTGTGTATGTGTGTTCGTGTTCGTAGTCATGCATGGACACAAAAAATACATGGATGTGCACTTCTGTGTGATCATTTTGTGCGTGAGCAAGAAGAAAATCAGAAATTTAGAAATAATAGAAAGGTCAGTTTCAGGTATAAAAAGGAGGGAGCCCGGAAGTGTTTGTGCAGAATGGACTCGGAGATATGAAGCGACTAGCTGTCCAGCGGGCATAACTGTAAAGTTGTGGTGGACGAGACAGAAGATAGGTCCAGTGAATTGGGGAAAAACCCAAAGAGAGAGCATATGATGGTGAGAAGGAAACAGCAAATAATAAGCAATGTGAAGACAAGCGACTGGGGTAGCAAGTACGTAACCGAGACACACACCTCACCTGAATGCAAGGATCGGTGATCGAATTAGCAAGAGCCGGCGACGAATGGGTAGTAAGAAAAGATAAAAACTGTACATATCGCCAGACGTTTGACGAGCTAATGGAGTTCTCGTAATAAAAAGGATAAAGTATGGCGCAGCAGTCCGGGCAAACCGAAGCCAGAAGAGGAATAGATGGTGTATGCCTTCCGATGGCTGAAAAGTTGCTACCGGCGGCTGCGCAGCCGACGAAAGGGCACAACTCCGGACCGGCCCAAATCGAATAGCCCGTCTACAGTCTTGGAATCCGAAACAGAGTTTGAAACGTCCTCTCCTTCCACTTCTTCCACCGCTTCTTCGGTATCATGATGACCCAAGAACTGAGTCGATTCGGCCAGTGTTTGTAGATTTCGTGAAGAATTTGTTTGGCTACAGTTGCTGATGAGTAGTGAATCGTCAGTAACGGTTCGAGATTTTATCTGGCGACTCAAAGGCTTCTTGTTCTCATTACTCAGCTTCTAAATCCACATAAATGAAGAGAGCAAGAGAAATAAATTATATAGACGAAAACACTAAATACTAATAAATATAGCTGTAAAATTAAGAATCAATTGGAAGTGCGCTCATAATTATACAGCAAACTAATTAAGTAAAAGTTAAATTTAACGCCAATTCGTACAAAATGATTATCGCTTCCTTCAGATCTGATCAGGTAAATTATACCATCAGTAATCTGAATGAATTGTCATAAGATTTGTTATAGCTCTTTGCTTCTTAACCAATTTTAACTATGCTAAGAAATTTATGAGTAGTGAGTTTTGAGTAATTCAAATAAAAAAATATAGATGCCACCAAATAGAAGGAAATCATGTTCCCCTTGTAGATAAGATATCGAGAACAAGTACAAGATTACCGAGAGGCTATAAAAACAAAAATATGGAGACCAAGGTGGTGTGGCCCACGGTATAGTCACAGTCTTCTTTCGATTTATAGAAGTGGGTTGACCTTGTTGTCACAACTTGATCTTGCTGTCAAGGGAGACTTAGAATAATGCACCTTGTCGGAAGTCCTCTGCGATAGTAGTCAGCATAATTCTCAGCATCAGACAGCGGACTTGGTACGTCTGAGAATGTACCACTTCTATAAATCGAAAGGAGACGTGACCATATCGAAGGCCACGTCATATTGGTCTACATATATTCGATTAAACTACAGTAGTAAAATTGACAGACAAAGCACTAAATACTGCCGGACAAATAAGGCAATTGTAAAACAATCTTGCAATCTGAGCTTTTTAAACTATTGTAAATGCTATGGCATCACTCATGATTTCTGTGACCTTAATAGACCACCCTACTATCCGAATAAAGTTAATGAATTTCT